AGCCTCGTCCTGTCACCCAGGCTGGAGTGCAATGGCGCCATCTCGGCTCACTGCAACCTCTGCCTCCCAGGCAATTCTCCTGCCTCAGCCTCTGGAGTAGCTGGGATTACAGGCACATGCCACCACACCCAGCTAATTTTTGTATTTTTAATAGAGACGAGGTTTCACCATGCTGGCCAGGCTGGTCTCGAACTCCTGACCTCATGATCCTCCTGCCGCGCCCTCCCAAAGTGTTAGGATTACAAGTGTGAGCCACTGTGCCTGGCCATTCCTCTCTTTTCAAAGGCATTTTTGCCTTCTTTTGTGAAATGGCTGCTCCTGGGTCTCTGCAACTTTCTACTGAAGTGTCTTTTCAAATACTACCATCAGATGCCACCACGTTTATGCAGCAGACTGGGCACTCTCACATAGCTTGGCACCCTGCTTGGGCCTGGTCTGTTTGAAGGGTAGTGGGCTCTTCACATGGCTTCAGTGGCACCTCAAGTGTGGCTGCATCTGTGTCATTTTCATAAACTTTACTTGGGAACAGACAAATGTGGCCCAATACACGTAGGCCAGAAGATGCAACCTGAGCCAGCAGAACGTTGCCTTGGAAAAGGTTTCTTATTTCAGTTCCAAACCACACATACTTGTACAGTGAACAAATGCAGTGGGGGATATTGGTCCACAACACTCATGCTGAGGCCAGAGGCTCTGCAGTCCTCCGCCCTCTTCTCTCCCCACCCCCACCTGCCTTCCCAAGAACTACTGGGTTGCCTGGAAATTTCAGAGGAAAGTTAGGTGGCTGTCGTTTTGGAATGCCAGCACACTCCAACAAGGAGAGGAACTTGGAAGTATTTTAATCTAAAAGAACATAAGGAGGGGGGTTCCCTATAAATAAAATCATGTTCAAATAAACACAAAAAAGGAGCCAATATTTCCTGTAAGGCCACTTTTCAGATGGATTACTGGAAGGAGTACTCTTTCACAGTTTTATGGCTTACTTTCCTATCATCTGCTTAAAATTTGGGTCGTTTAAAACGTAGATGCTAAGATCTAAGCCTTTACTTGGATGAAATATTACAAAGGAAGCAGAAAGTCTCATTCCAATTGCAAGCTGAGAGGCAGAACTCTTGGACTCTTGGGTTCTATTCCTGGCTTGGTCCCTGGGCTCAGGTCAACCCCCGGTCAGAATCTCACTTCTAATCCCTTCAAATCATTTGTTAGTCCCTGTTGTCTAAACAGTGGGGAAAAACCCTGAGTAACACCCCTGGATCCTGTTCAATCAACTGGGATGATTGGAGATGGTTATAACTCACTTCCAAGAAACCAGGGTGATTTATCCCTCGGTGATAGTGTGAGAGCCAGTATGTTCCTAAGAGATACAGTGTCATCAGAACAAACTGGCACTGAAACATTTCTCCACCTGCAAGGATCTCTGCACTCCTTTAATATGACTTTAAAATAATAGCACCCAGCATTTTTATAGTTCTTTATAGCTTCCACATTAAAATAACTCTGGTTGGGCTTCAAACTCCTGAGAAGCAGAATAAACAGACAGATAAACTTATCTCCAATTTATAGATGAAAAAACAAAAACTGAGTCTTACCTAGATGTCTTGACTTGACCAAAGGCCCCAAGTGAATAAGTGAGGAAGCTGGGACTCTGGCCTGTTGTTTTCCAGATCAAGTGTTCTCTTTCTTTGTTGGACAGGGTCTCACTGTTGCCCAGGCTGGAGTGTAGGGGCACAATCACAGCTCACTGCAGCCTCAACCTTCCCCGCTTAAGCAATCTTCTTCCCACCTCAGCCCCCCAAAGAGGAAGGACCAGAGGTGCACACCACCATACCCAGCTATTTCTTTTTTTTTTTTTTTTAGAGATAGGGTCTCATCATGTTGCCCGGGCTGGTCTCAAACTCCTGGGCTCAAGCGATCCTCTCACTTTAGCCTCCCAAAGTGCTGGATTACAGGTGTGAGCCACCACGCCCAGCCCAAGCGCTCTCTTCTCTCTAACGCATGGCTCCTCATGAATACTTCTGGACCTAGTCAAATGGACTGAAGGACACTGATGAAAGGGCTACTATTTATCTCTTCAGAAGAATCTGTAATCTTAGCTTTTTCAGCACAATAAAGGACACTGATCTACTGATCCAAACATCCAACAGAAGTTGCCTCCGGTAACTTCTGCCGTGACTCTCCCACTACTGGCACCTGCAGGAATAGAGAAGGGATATGGAAGTTTAATCCCTCTCCTTTGAGGATATATGAAGACCAGGCTGTGCCTCATGATCACTGCAGCTTTTGTTTCTAAGAGAAGTGAATGGTGAGGCAGATAGCTATCCCATGAAACTTGCAGTTAAACTTCATGGTTTTTTCTTTTTCTTTGCAGCCTACAAAGTTGGAACTTTCAGTTAAACTTCAATTAGGCTGCCCAATTACTGTCTGCTTTGAGTCATGCTGCACAACTTTTCTATATCCCGAGTGCCTCATCTACATGGAAATGTAAAACTTCTTTGGGCCGAGATGAGGAATGACCAGTGCTGACAGTGAATGGCTCCCCAGTGCTTTCATTAGGGCATTGTTTCTGCTGCTGAGGTCCGGATAATGCTGAGGTGGCAGGCCAGAGGAACCAGACAGAGAAGAATGCAGTGCTGGCCAAGATGCTGAATCATGTCAGCGTGTAGGTAATACTAAAGTAAATCTTGAGTCATCAGGGAAGAAACTGTGGAATGCCATACCTTACACTAACTGACTCTGAAACATGAACAAGAGAAATCCAGTGAGCACCCTCTCGCAGGCCCAGGCAGCATGGTGCGATGCAGTGGTGCTGGGCACAGGGTCAGGAGACAGGCTGGGTGTAAGTTGAGGTCTACCATCTCCAACCAGCTGTGTGGCTGTGGACAAACTCCATGACTTCTCTGGACTGTCTTGTCCTCTTTGTAAATTAAGTATGAAGATTAAATGGGATTCCATATGTGGAGGCACAAAGACAATGCCTGACACTTAATAAGTGGTAAGTTCCTTCCTTTTGGTATTACACACACAGTAGTTCCCTTTAACCTGGAAGGTGATTCTGTCTTCACCTGGCCAACTCCTGCTTCACACTCCAGGCTTCATCTCAAATATTACTTCCCTAGAAAAGCCTGCCTCGACTCCCCTGATCACTAGGTTAGCCACAGTCCTTCTCCCCATCACCTTCTCTGATCATGGTCTCGAGGTACCCTGTAGGTCTCCTCTATGTCATTTGTCACAATTTCAGCAAATAAGTGTTTATATGATTGTTTTATGTTTGCTGCCCTACTTGATTATAAGCTCTTTAAGACCAGGGACAGTTTTGGTTTCTGCTATTCCTAACCCTGAGTTCATAGGCAATTTTCAATCACTATTTACTGACAGGGAATGAATAAATGACGGCTATGTACTGGCTGACACAAAATCAAACTTCCACGGCAATGCTGAAGAACTCACAAAAATGACAAGAATGCCTTTCTTTCGCAGTGACCTCGGCTACATTACTTGTGCTCCTAAAAAGAATGAAAAACCTCATCAAGACATTCAAGATGATAATGTGTAATATTCAACCCATTTCTTTCTCATCAACATGATTAAACTTCACAGCACAAAATAATCTTTAAAAAATGTATCACATATACCTTGAACCCTTTTTATCAATCAATCTCTTGGCTATTTTGACATGTGAAGAACACAGATACTTCTCTGGGAATTCTTAGGCATCTTCAGCTTTACACTTCATTTAGTCTCATTATCTTAAAAAATACTGGAGGTAGACTTCTTGGGCTTCGAGCAGAGATGGAAAAACTAACTGGAAATACTTTTGAAACCTCCTCACTGCCTGCCCTTCCCCACAACTTCATAAATGCTTCAAAATAGACTCAAGGATTGTTTTAGTTTTCTATCTGAGAATAGAATGTAACTTAACTAAAGTCAACCATACAGAGTTTACTCAGCTGCTTCCAGATGGAAGACATTCTGGCACAACACACTGCCTGGCCCTAGTCCACAATCTGAGCATTTCCCCTGCTGCAGTAATGTGTCTTCAGTAAGTTTTCCTGGTGACAGACAAATGGATTCACTTCAATTGGGGACAATTTCACTTCATATCCTATTTGAGGGAGTGATAGGGTGTGGGTGTGGGCCAGGCCCTAGGCATTCTAAAAGGGTATACTAATTCACTCAAGGAAAATCTATTATTGAGCAAAATCCTTCTGGGCTTAAGTCGAGTCTAGCTTGGCTGAGCCCTCAACATTCATTATACCCTTTGTTGATAAGAATCCCCAATTAGTCACTCTGGAAAAGGGAGGCTAAAATAGGCCATTCAAACAACTAGCTACATTCAAGTGGTTGGGTTCTGTGGGGTTTGGAACCATATGGGCTGCCCTTGATTTCCAGTCTCAACTGGTATCAAGGCCAGACAGCAATTGCACAGCAGAACTGCCAACTTGCTGGGGGATGTGGGGTGGCACTTTTCTTTATGAGGTTGAGGCTGGTATTTTCAAGCGAAAGGAAGATTAAGAAGGAACAGACCCATGTGGTAAACTGTAACTGCAAAGATTCTAGAACTATACCACGGGGTATAGGAGGAAGAACCAGATGACAATCTGATAGTTTTCTTCATGGGCATGTAGGGATCCAGTTGGCTTGGTGAACAGAAGAAGCTTCTAACAATTTAATCCTATTTCTGACCTCTCTAGCGCAGAAAAACAACATAATATACTCATACATACCTATATACAACATGCAATATATACAAATATATTTAATATATATATAGCACATATAAAATATGCTATATATATATTTATCTGAAGAAATTAATGCCAAGTTTCTGTACCTCATTTTCATGTTTTTACATTAGACAGGTCAGAAATTTCAGTTACAAGTATTTGAATTAAAAATCCTATAACTAAGGCAGTGCACAATTAAACACTTGAGAATGGATTAGGAGAAGCAGCAGATTTAGGCTGGAAACTGCAAAAGCCACTCCCTCCACAACCACTGACCTGGGGCCACTAAGTGTGGCTGTGTCTCTCACCGCCTGGGCTGTTTCTGATGCAAAATCCAGGGCGCCTGCCACTGGCTTGGTTACAGTGCCAACAAGCCCTTTTCCAAGGCCAGATATGAAACCGCTGACACCGCCTTCTGTTTTCACACCTTCCACTGTTGAAGTTATAACACTGGTCAGTCCACCAATGATACCTAGTGAAAAAGACAAGGGATGCTGTAACCTGACAAGGACAAAAGCAAAAGCATTTAAAGCCAAACCTCTTGATTCCATGCACCTGGAATAACTTCAGGGCATTCTATTAATCTCTGTGCCAGAGAAGCCACAGACAGGCCAACTCACAGACAGGGAATCCTGCAGATTTGCCCATGAAGTCCAGAGTCAGAGGGTATATGTTACATGTTAGCCAGAGTAAAGTGTGTTCCAGTTTTAAAAGAATCAAAGAAAAGCTGAGAGGTTAACAGTGGCCAAGTTTTCGATTCCAGAACTTGGGCAGCCTATGGACAATCAGGAGAGGATACAGACAGAGGATTAAATCAATAGGACACTAGAAAAGAGGGCCTTTGGGGAAAGTCTGAAAATGATGGCATCCTAGGAAATACAAAGCAGAGGCCAGGCACAGTGGCTCATGCCTGCAATCTCAGCACTTTGGGAGGCTGAGGTGGACAAATCACGAGGTCAAGAGATGGAGACCATCCTGGCCAACATGGTGAAACCCCATCTCTACTAAAAATACAAAAACTAGCTGGGCATGATGGCGCACACCTATAGTTCCAGTTACTTGGGAGGCTGAGGCAGTAGAATCACTTGAACCTGGGAGGAGGGGGTTGCAGTGAGCTGAGATCGCACCATTACACGCCAGCCTGGGTGACAGAGCGAGACTCTGTCTCAAAAAAAAAAAAAAAAAGAAATATTAGTATCCATGTGGGACTGGTTCAGGATCCCCTGCAGATACCAAAATCCTAGGATGCTCAAGTCCCTTACATAATGTGCTGTAGGTGTTTGCATATAACCTACACACATTGTCCTGTATACTTTAAATCACCTCTAGATTATTTATGGTAGCAAATGCCCACATATCACTTCATTTGTGTGAAATTAACAGAGTATTTGAAACGTGTAGCAAATTCAAATTTTGCTTTCTGGCACTTTATGAAATCTTTTTTTCCCAAATATTTGCCATTCACAGTTGGCTGATTCTGTGGATATGGAGAGCCAACTGTATACATTTGCAGTTTTCAAAAAACACTATGGGTGACTGGCCAACCCCACTGGATGCTTGGACTCAGGTAAAAGCTACTAGATGCTCTGATGAAATTCGGTACAGGCGGTTATAGTAAGTGATAAAACTTTCATGGAGAGCACCCCAAAAAGCTGTGAAAGCTGGCTGGTTCCCTCAATGGAGTCAGTTCAAAAGACCAATCCAGGTCAAAAAGCCATTTCAAAATTTTGCAAGTTGACACAATGGCTGAAAAGGCCAGCCTTAGAAGAGGCCAGAAGCTGGCAGAGGCTGAAGAGGTCACAGTCACTGAAAGGAAGAGGCAGCTCGGTCTGGGGAACATCTCCAGGACCTATGCCAGGGACACTCACAGGATGTTTACCCTCTGACAGTGGGGTGTGAGGAAGCTCTCAGGACTCTTTAGCTCTAGTGAGACAAATTGGTAAAGGAAACTCCTTGGGTGAGAATGTATTAACAATTCACAATGTTTCTTTTGGATTCTGGGTCCATTTGCTCCAGTGAGGCAATATCCCTTCCCTAACGTTTTTTTTTTTTTTTTTTTAAGAAACAGGGTCTCAGGCTGGGTGCGGTGGCTCACGCCTGTAATCCCAGCACTCTGGGAGGCCAAGGTAGGCAGATCATGAGGTCAGGAGATTGAGACCATCAGGCTAACATGGTGAAACCCTGTCTCTACTAAAAAACCAAAAAATTAGCCAGGCGTGGTGGCATGTGCCTGTAGTCCCAGTTACTTGGGAGGCTGAGGCAGGAAAATCACTTGAACCCAGGAGGCGGAGGTTGCAGTGAGCCAAGACCATACCACTCCAGCCTGGGAGACAGAGCAAGACTCCTTCGCAAAATTAAAAAAAGAAAAAAAGGAAGAAACAAGGTCTTAGTCTATCACTCAGGCTGGAGTGCAGTGGCATGATCACAGCTTGCTGCAGCTTTAAACTCCTGGGCTCAAGTGATCCCCTCTCTAGGCCTTCCAAAGTACTAGAATCACTATCCTGGGGCACTGCACCCAGCCCTTTCCCAAACTTTTAAACAAAGTTCTTGGCAGAGCACACACAGAATAGGAATTCAAAATAAAATAAAAACAAAATAGGAATTCAGACTGGGACCCGAGATACAGAACACGACTGAACCTGGGTCCAGTAGAGCTTACAGAGAGAACTGAGCACAATTCCCAGTTCTTAAATCAGGGAGACTGAGTGGATTCTGGTTCTTGGCATCTTCTAAAGGTCTTTTCATCCTAAAGGAAGACTCTCACTCTAGGATACTGCCTTCATATAACCCAGAGTTCAATGGATCCTCTTTGGATGAAGCCATTGGCTCCTGGGGAGGCTGTACATATTATAAGAATGATTCTTGATGGGAGGTGATTTTGCAACTTTGAACCAATCATGCATTTTCTCAGCATATTTGCGTGTTCATCTAGAAAGTGAGGACAGCCATGCTCTCTCCACATCACAAGGATGCTGGCCAGATAAAGGCCACCATACATAACAAAGCATTTTATATTCATTTTAAAAGTCTTCTAAGAGTCCAATGTACTGTCATTACCATTACTAGAAAGAATGATTGAACCTTTAACCCCAAATGATTGCTTAACACTCAACTTTTAAAATCCTTAAACGAATTACTTTCAGCCAAATTTCATTTCTGGCCTGATGTCTCCTTAGGGACAGCTTCCTTTATGGTTGGGCAACCTTAGGAAAAGCAAAGGCATTTTGATCCAAACCTCGCCATTAGGAAAGCTGATAAACAAAAAACTCTATTCTAAACATTGTGTCCTAAGCACAGATAGAAACATAACCTTTTACTCTCTGTATGCCTTCCTCTTCCTCCAAATGCAGATCATTAAGACTGATTGGTCTTGATGTGATTCTGATGGCTTTGGATGGTTCCTAAGGATCTAGTACAAAGAGTTTAATTTACTAAGCCTCACTATGCATGAGCTACATGCCAGGTGTCATGTGAGGTATGCAAGGATAAAGGTGAATGCAAAGTGGTCTTTCTCCCCTCCTCACATTCTATCTATCAGAGACCTCGATGTACAAAGTTGGTGACATACACAATCCAGATTGCCCTGTGTGCTCTGTCATTAACTCTAACTGGGACAATGCAGCTATGAAAATGTATTTGAGTTGGGACTTATAGATTATGAGTAGGATTTTGATAGACAAGGAAATGAGGCAGAGGAGGGAGAGCAGAAGAACCATGTGTGAACAAGGACTAGGAGGCACACCTGGGAAGCAGTAAATAGCTCTGTGTGGCCAAAGCGCAGCATGGCTGAGGGACGGGGGTTGGAAAAATTGGCTGGATTTATAATTCCAAGGGCCTTGAATGCTGTACTAAGAAGTTGTTAAGAAAAATGCAACAAAAGGCAAGTGACTCAGAATTAAAGCATTAAAAATCAGAATTCAAATTCAGAGAACAAATACATTCATGCCATCACCAATATCTCTTAGGCAGATAAATGTATACTTTCAGTAAATGTACATTTATACAAACTGAAAAACACCTGGGCCACAAACCTGGCCACCAATTTCCCATTTCAATTTCTTTGGAAGGAATGATCAGTAAGGAGAAGGCAGAGGTTACGATTCTAAGAAGAGAAGAAGCAGTCACAATTCTAAGAACAGGTCTGGTTGATTACACCTTATGATACTTTAGGAACAGAAGCCAGAGAACGAACAGGAATTGCAATGTGTGTAACATTCAGAAAACACATGAGGAGTTCTCACAGGCTGTCATACTTCAACTGCAAGGAGGATAAAGCAAGAGAGCTTGGAAGGCTATCAGGTACACCAACACAGGATTTCCTCTGTTGTAAGTTTTTTTTTTTTTTTTTTTGAGTCTAGCTCTGTTGCTCAAGCTGGAGTGTAGTGGCATGATCTCAACTCACTGCAACCTCTGCCTCCCAGCTTCAAGCGATTCTCTTGCCTCAGCCTCCCAAGTAGCTGGGATTACAGGCACCCGCCACCATGCCCAGCTAATTTTTGTATTTTTAGTAGACAGGATTTCACCATGTTGGCCAGGCTGGTCTCAAGCTCCTGACCTTGTGATCCACCTGCCTTGGCTTCCCAAAGTGCTGGGATTATATGCGTGAGCTACTGCGCCCAGCCATGTTTTCTTTTTTACAGTTGCAATCAGATTGGTAAAAAGGCACCTCTGAGGACCTGCAGTAGCAGAGCCTGATTCACCTGTAACTTACCATGAGCCAGGCCGTGGATGCCGGCTACGAGGTGTTCACCACTTGTGGCTGCGTGGTACCTGATGTACTCCCGCTCTGACTGATGCCGATTGTCCATCGTCTTCCCTAAGCCATCTGATAATGTCCCGGCAAACTAGAATGAGTTAAATACAGGAGAAGCGTTTTTAAGTCTCAGCACTATTTTTACTATTTTAATTAAACAAACTTAAACACATTTAGATATGCGGGGCACGGTGGCTCATGCCTGTAATCTCAGCACTTTGGGAGGCCAAGGAGGGTGGATCACAAGGTCAAGAGTTCAAGATCAGCCTGGCCAACATAGTGAAACGGGTTTCTACAAAAATACTAAATAAATAAAGATAGATAGATAGATAGATAGATAGATAGATAGATAGATAAGCTCATGCTGGAGTGCAGTGGTATGATCTCATATCATTGCAACCTCTGCCTCCCAGGCTTAAGTGATTCTCCTGCCTCAGCTTCCCGAGTAGCTGAGATTATAGGTGCATACCACCACATCTGGCTAATTTTTACATTTTTAGTAGAAATAGGGTTTCACCATGTTGGCCAGACTGGTCTCGAACTCCTGACCTCAAGTGATCTGCCCACCTCAGCCTCACAAAGTGCTGGGATTATAGGTGTGAGCTACTGTGCCTGGCCAATAATATAAATATAAATAAATTTAAGTATTTTAAATGCAGTTACTTATACTGTCTGCCCCAGGTAAGTGGTTCTCAAAAGCACTGGACACATACAAATTGTGTGATGCACGTGATGGGGGACACTAGCCTTTGCAAAGAAACTACTAAAAATCTCTAATGCTTTCCAGAATACCATTCCAAATTTACTGAAAAATTAAATGTATAACAAAATGGCTTTGGGGAGGAGAATGAGCTTTGGGACTATATCATGGTAAGAACATAGGCTCTTTGCTCTAAGAATCAGCAGAATTCAAAATAGGAAATGTGTCAGATTGTTGCTTTAGGGTTTGGTATCAAATATTTGGAGATATCAAACTCCCTCCAGTAATACCCTCTTTCATTCATTCAACAATTACTGAGTACCTATATGAGGTGCCAAGCTCCATTTGTCAAAAGCCAAAAATGAAGTAGATGGAAAGATTAACAGGTTGGGTCACCTTTCATAGGAGGTGGCAGACTTGAACTCATGATTTGAAATGCAAACTCATCCTCCCCCACAATTCAGAGATTTTATTTATCCTGACATACTTTAACCAGAAAAGCTGTCTCATCCATCAAAGCTGGGATAAAAAGGACATAAAACTCTGTTTTGTCACAAGACAATCTGAAAAGGTTTAAAGTGACAGCGAATAAACCACAGAGTACTTATCTTCATCACTCAGGCATAAAAAAAAGAAGGATATCAAATATATAATTAACCTTCTCAGGAAGGATCTACCAAAACAAGTGGTTTAAGTGCCAATGACCCAGGACTAACCTCTTAAAAAACTCACAGGAATGTTCCTTAGATATAAAGCTCAGGGGAAAGCCTCAAGGCAAGCTGCCTGCCTGGAAGGCCCAGGAACTGGGTGGCCATCTGGGGGCCAATTTCATTCTCCTTTGGTAAGGGGGTTGGGGTGTGTGTTACACAGATCAGATCTGCCCTGGAAACTGTCAGTCATGAGGATTCTTGACACAAGTGACACGTGAGTTCTGGGCACAGAAGAGGGACTAGTGAACAGAGCAGTAATTCCACATAAAGTGATGGTTCCTGGAAGAAGCTATGGGAAGGCTCATGCATTTCACTCAGTCCAAATATTTTACAACCTAGAGCAGTGATTCCTGACCTTGCTGGAGATAAAACCCCTATCATTATTTGTTTGCTTTCTGCTTTGCCTTCCACATTACTCCCTGTCTAATGAGAAAATTAAAGTTAATGAAAATTAATTTCATAGCTTCCTTTAGGACAACTGGAAACACTAAGGGATGCTGCAAAGCTAGCACCACGAATCACTAAGGAGTGGCTTCAGTCAAGGACCCCCTCTGTGAGTCACCACAGGACAGGACAGAAGGGCCACAAGCTGGGGCATCTGACCAAACCAGGCTGCAGTTCTCTCTCAACCATTCTGGTAACTACATGACCCTGAGTGAGGTGACCTACCGCTGAGCCTCCTTCTGCATCTGGAAAATAGTGAGTACCTATTTTGCCATGTGGCTGGAAGCATTCTGGACAATGGCTCCAGGGCCTGGTATCTAGTTAGCATTCTTACTGTTCTTATCACTCTGCTACTAGTCCAAGGAGGAACATGCTGTACTGTTTGAAGTAAGCCTGTTGAAGATTTAGAATTATGGTCATTTGCCCTACAGTTTAACATAATAAAATCCTCTCTAGCAGATAAACACCAGCCTCCTAAGTAAATTTTTGGAGCGGTACCACTTACAAAATTAGAGTGCTGGACTCTACGGTCTCCAAAATCCTTTCCAGCTCTGGCAGTATGAGATCTATGACCCAAGGCAGAATGTCTTTATCAAGCACTTCCTCTGGGCCCAGGACAGATTTAGGTACTGCTGAAGATACAAACAAGAACAGCCTTGAGGAGAACGATCCAAGATGGCCGATCAATAACAGCTCGGGATTGCAGCTCTCAGTGAAAGCGCAGAGAACTGGAGGACGCCACACTTTCAGACAAATTCTGGTCGCTCAGGGAGCAGAAGATTCCCAGTGGAGGAGCCACATGGGTCGCTAGCGCTGGCACCTCAGCGCGGCAGCTCTCGGAGCAGAGTAAACAGGGATGGCTCCCCTTCTGACCGAGGTTTGGAGGACCCACACGGGTCCCCAGCATGACTGCTGAGGCCGGTGCAGCGGTTGTGACAGCACCTCGGCGCAGCAGCTCTCGGCGCAGAGTAAACGAGACTGGTTCCCTTTCTGACCGAGGTTTGGAGCCCCGGGAAGGCAGAGTCGCCTATTACAGACACAAGAAGGAAGCCAGACAGGAGAATCCTGGGCAGAAAAGCACCATCAATCTTAATGCCGCTGTTCTGGCCCTGGGAACTAACAACTTGGACGTCCACTCAAGAGACCTAATCTGAAAGTAGGTAATTTCAAAGACAACAGGAGGATAAATTTACAATGATGGGAAGAAACCAGCGTAAAAAGGCTGAGAATACTCAAAATCAGAACGCCTCTCCCTCTAAAGATGATCACAGTTCCACATCAACAATGGAACAAGGCTTGATGGAGAACGAGCGCATCCCAATAACAGAATCACGCTTCAGGGAATGGATAATAAGAAACTTCTGTGAGTTAAAAGAACATGTTGTAGCCCAACGTAAAGAAACTAAGAACTTTGAAAAAAGGTTTGACGAAATCCTATTGAGAATAGACAACTTAGAGAGGAATATAAGTGAATTAATGGAACTGAAGAATACAATACAGAAACTCCGAGAAGTATGCACAGGTTTAAACACTCGAATTGTTCAAGCAGAAGAAAGGATATCAGAGGTCAAAGTCCAACTTAATGAAATAAAACGAGAAGACGAGATTAGAGAAAAAAAGGATAAAAAGGAATGAGCAAAGTCTCCAAGAAATGTGGGACTATGTGAAAAGACCAAATTTACGTTTGATAAGTGTACCTGAATGCGACAGAGAAAATGAATCCAAGCTGGAAAATACCCTTCAGGATATTATTCAGGAAAATTTTCCTGAACTAGCAAAGCAGGTCAATATTCAACCCCAGGTAATACAGAGAACACCACAAAGATATTCCTCAAGAAGAGCAACTCCAAGGCACATAATCATTAGATTCACCAGGGTTGAAATGAAGGAGAAAATACTAAGGGCAGCCAGAGAGAAAGGTCAGGTTACCCACAAAGGCAAGCTTATCAGACTTACAGCAGATCTCGCAGCAGAAACTCTACAAGCCAGAAGAGAGTGGGGGCCAACATTCAACATCCTCAAAGAACAGAACCTTCAACCCAGAATTTCATATCCAGCCAAACTAAGCTTCACAACTGAAGGAAAAAATAAAATCTTTTATGAACAAGCAAGTACTCAGAGATTTTATTACCACCAGGCCTGCTTTACAAGAGCTTCTGAAAGAAGCATTACAGACAGAAAGAAACAACCAGTATTAGCCTTTCTAAAAATACAGCAAAAAGTAAAGAGCACCAACATAAAGAAGAATTTACATCAACGAATGGATAAAACAGCCAGTTAACATCAAATGGCAGTAATCCTAAATTTAAATAGACTAAATCCCCCAATCAAAAGATACAGCCAAAACCCAATGGCATGTTACATCCAGACCTGTTTCACATGCAAGGATACACAAAGACCCAAAACAAAGGGATGGAGAAAGATTTACCAACCAAATGGAGAGCAAAAATAAATAAAATAATTTAAAAAAAGCAGGAGTTGCAATTCTTGTATTGGATAAAATAGATTTTAAAGCAACAAAGATATAGTGGTAAAAGGATCAATGCGACAACAAGAGCTAACGATCCTAACACCCAGATACATAGAGACTTAGATTCAATGAGACAGAAAATTAATAAGGATATCAAGGACTCGAACTCCGATCCAGAACAAGTAAACTTAATAAATATTTATAGAGCTCTCCACTTCAAATACACAAAATATACATTCTTGTCAATACCACATCACACCTACTCATAGGTTTAAATGAAACATTGATTGGCCATTATTAATACCCATTTTTTTTTCAGAATAAAGCAATATTTCCGTTCACCCTCCCTCTTTCTCTTCCTCTCCTTTACTCATTTTTTTTTCTTTCCTTCTCTCAAAAAAAGAAAAAAAAAAAAAAAAGAAAAGAAAAGAAATCAACTTGTAAACCTCTAGATTCAGGTCGGCAATGTCTCTCTCATTGCTTGATTTCCTTCCTTCCCTTCCCTCCCTCCCCGCTTCCTCCCTTCCTTCTTTCCTTCATCCCTTCCTTCCTCCCTCCCTTCCTGCCTTCCTCCCTAAAAAAAATAAATAAATAAATAAAAAAGAACAGCCTTGAACCCTGCTCTCAAGGACTGACCATATCATTGGGAAGGTAAGAATCATACGCATGAAACAGCAGGAACCCAGGACACAAACTACAGAGAGAGGAAATGTGACCTTTGTTTTGGAAAGAATCAAGAGAGTCCCCGCTCTGTTTTAGAATTACAT